ATAGATCAGGGGAAGTTGGAGGGCCCCAGATATGCTATACCCTCAGATGAGCTCGCCCTACTACGGTTCGGCGATGTCGAGAGCGCTTGTGATTCCTGCCTCGGAGCCGGACCATCCTGCGATGTTCGGGGGTGTTCGGCCGAAGCCTTCTTTCTGAACGGATTTGAACCCATACGAGCTCAACAACCTTCCCGGTCGGCAAATATCTCGATGATTTTCGGCGATGAGAAAACTTTTCAAAATTGGAGAAGTTGCTCTTCTCCAGCTCGCCAAGCACGATTTGCTGTGTTGTTCTTGCGTTATGCGGGCGATTCCCCCAGAAGCGGGAAACAAATTCTTCCGAGAACCGACGCAGGCTCAAAAAGCTAGTCCGAGGCGGAGTCGAATTTGATCGAGTTTGGTGGTAAAGGAAACCCAGTTTGCTGCTCCTCAGAAGGCCTGCCGATATTGTTCTGGAGTCTGTTAGTATTGGTTCGATCTGCGGAGCCTCATCACAAGTCAGCTTTTTCTGTTAGTGGGGGCCCATGGTTGTGGGGCTTTGCCTTCTGCCCAAGCATCTCTTGCGTGTGGAAAGGGCCGAGGCAGGCATCCGACTATGATACCCCCACATGTTGCGGTAGCCGCGAGGGTTCCACATTAGTCGGAGCATATCATATTACAGCACAGCACAGTATGATATGATGCCTCTCCCTTCCATGGGATTGAATGTTCGCACAAGCCTTACTCGTAACCACCTTCGCCGGTGTGGAAATTTTCGACAGAAACTCCGCCCGTACTCCCCAGTTTTCAGCCTTCCCCATTACCGGTATGATACCCTGATAGCTTCCGGGTCCGGAGATGAGCCAGAGTTCGTCACCTGAAATCACTCGGTTCCTGCACCTGCTGCTGGATTCTGGATCAGGATTGTCACTCCGACACTCCTAAAACGCTCCTGAAACCATGCGGCAAGCCTCCTCATACCGGTGTTGTTTCCGGCGGGGGCAAAACATTGGAACTTTGCCCTTTATCACTACCGTAGTCCTGGGATTCTTGGTACGGTGTGGTGATTGCGATATATGGCTTGGAGCCTTTCCATAAAGGGGGTCTGCGGTGGTTATTGTATTGGCATCTAAGGCCCCGGAAAAGCGATACTACATTGATTGAACCGTCCTCCCAATAGACAAGAACCTAGTATCATGAGTGCCGCACCTTACTCGGACAGGCTATTTTACCGCATAGTACTGTAACGCGATGCCCTTCTCCTGCGCCTAAGGCTTGCCCTGAGGCCTAAATCAGGAACAAGTACCGTATGATACCGGGGCGGGGGACAAGAGGTCTCCCCCGAGGAGTTATGATATTATGATAGAAGTATGATGTGATGTGATACCGGTATTCGAAAGTTGGGATCCATAGGGCTAGCTCTTCACGCCTGTTAGGGACGCAGTCATCGTACGGCCTACCGGCTACTGGTATCACAACTCTGGCTTCTCTACTCATTTATCATACCTCCACCAACGGAGGGAAGCGCATCCACCGCCCCAATTACCCTCTTCTTTTTTTTTTTTCGAGGGGAATTGAGTTATCATAGAGGTAGCGGGTGTGACGGGCTAGGGTTACTACTGCTCACCCTTTTGAGCGCAAAATCTTTCTTCAAACAACTAATTTTACCAGTATGTGTCACAACTGAATTGACTCGCGACTTCGCCACCAAGCTCCGCGTTGGACTCGGTCGCGACGCGTTTCCCCCCCCGCTCGCCCACGTCTCAACGCCCATAAACCCCACTTTCGACGCGTTCACACACAACGACTCGTAAGAACGCGAGGACTACCGTACCCAACCAACAAACGAACACACAGTGCTACTCTCTCTCTCTCTGGCAAGCAACGATGCATCGTCCAAAGAAGGCCGCCGCTGTTCTCGCCGATGAAAATACTCTGACCCCTAAACGAGCCCTACCCGGCCGACTCTATGGCAGTGCTGGCCCCGATACAATCTCGAAGCTTGTCAAACCTTTTAAAACGCCTGGATCTGCTCCATCAATCCGGAAGACGGTTTTGCCTCCTCGCAAACGACGCAAAGTCGGTTCTTATGCCGGCGCTGACGGCGGCGAGGACGATGGGGAGTTTGTCAAGGATGGGGAGAAGAGAATTGTCTTGGGCAATCTGGACGTGATGAAGAATTTTCCAGTGTTTAAAGCGAAAGACAAGGACGCTGTGTTTAGACAGCGATTTGCGGTACCGCTCGTTAATAAGGATGCTGGTACATGGAACCCGTTTAGACCTGCTCCAGCGTTGGGGATGAGGAAGAGCGTCAATTTCATCGCCAAACCGCTACATGACCCTAGTGGGGAGTTTGCGATTGTCCTTTATGACCCCACGATCGATGACAAGAAGGTTGAGATCACTGAAGAGAATGGTGAGGTGAAGATTGAGGAGAAGCCTGTTCCGAGAATGCACAAGAGCTTGGCCGAGATACTAGGTTTGAACAAGGGGGATAAGGAACATATTCCCAAAGTTCCGGTGGTCATTGATCCAAAATTGTCAAAAGTTTTGAGGCCTCATCAGGTTGAGGGTGTTAAGGTACGCTTGGAGTTGTTCTGCTGCGCCTCTCAAGCGGATGCTAACATTTTACGTAGTTCATGTATAGATGCGTTACAGGTCTGACGGACGCCGCAGCAAGTGGATGTATTATGGCGGACGAGATGGGTCTAGGCAAGACGGTAAGATGTTGGAGATTAGAGGTACGGCATTACGCTAATTCCTTCGATAGCTCCAATGTATTGCCTTGCTGTGGACTCTACTTAAGCAATCACCCGAGCCCGGGAAATCCACAATACAAAAATGCGTAGTTGTTTGCCCGTCATCATTAGTCGGTAATTGGGGGAGCGAGCTGGTGAAATGGCTCGGTAAGGATGCGATCAATCCCTTTGCGATTGACGGCAAAGTTTCAAAGACGGAACTGAAAGCACAACTCAAACAATGGGCTATATCCAGCGGCAGAAGCGTTGTTCGGCCGATAATGATCGTCAGTTATGAATCCCTACGTCTACATACCTCCGATCTCGCCAGCATACCGATTGGACTTTTACTCGCCGATGAGGGACACAGATTGAAAAATCGAGACAATCAAACATATAAGGCATTGATGACTTTGAATGTTGATCGACGAGTGATCTTGTCTGGAACCCCTATCCAGGTTAGTCACATCCATTATTTCGGTGACCGGCCATAACAGGCTAAAGATGTTTTGCAGAATGATCTTTCGGAATACTTTTCTCTTCTAAATTTCGCGAATCCTAATTTCTTGGGTACCCACAATGAGTTCAGGAAGCAATACGAACTTCCTATTCTTCGCGGTCGTGACGCGGATGGCTCCGAAGAAGATCGCAAGAAAGGAGACGAACGGCTTGCAGAACTTCTCCAGTTGGTGAACAAGTTTATCATTCGGCGTACTAATGATCTCCTGTCAAAGTACCTGCCCGTCAAGTATGAGCACGTCGTATTCTGCAAGTTATCACCCTTCCAGACGGATCTTTACAATTACTTTATCACGTCTCCGGATATTAAATCCATCCTAAGGGGCAAGGGATCCCAACCTTTGAAGGCTATCGGGCTACTCAAAAAATTGTGCAATCACCCCGATTTGCTCAACCCCTCGGAAGACTTGCCTGGATGTGAGAATTTGTTCCCTGGTGATTACGTTCCGAAAGATGCTAGGGGAAGAGACAGGGAAGTCAAAGTTTGGTACTCAGGCAAGATGATGGTACTAGACAGGATGTTGTCAAGGATCCAGCGGGAGACAAAGGATAAGATCGTCCTCATCAGCAATTATACCCAAACACTAGATGTATTTGAAAAGCTCTGCCGCTCAAGAGGGTGGGTCACCATTCATCCCGCCGTTTTCTATCGAGTAATTACTAACCCCTCCCACAGCTACGGCGCCCTGAGACTCGATGGCACAATGAACAGCTCAAAACGCACGAAGCTAGTCGACAAATTCAATGACCCCGAAGGCGAAGAGTTTGTCTTCCTTCTCAGTAGTAAAGCCGGAGGCTGCGGCATCAATCTCATCGGTGCAAACCGGCTCGTCCTCTTCGATCCAGACTGGAACCCAGCCGCGGACCAGCAAGCCTTAGCGCGAGTCTGGCGTGATGGGCAAAAAAAGGATTGTTTCGTCTACCGGTTCATTGCCACGGGAACCATCGAAGAGAAAATCTTCCAGCGCCAATCGCACAAGCAGTCGCTCTCCACGTCCGTCGTCGACGGCGTTGAAGACGTGGAAAGACATTTCGGTCTGGACGGGTTAAAACAGTTGTTCCGGTTCCAGCCGAATACTAACAGTGATACACATGACACCTTCAAGTGCAAGAGATGCAAGGATTGGAGACAGGTCATGAAAGCGCCCGCTATGCTCTATGGCGATACGAGTACCTGGAACCATATGTCCGATGAGCCGAATGGGGGTTTGGATAGGATTCAGGATTTGTTGCTTAGACAGGAGAGTGGGCAGGGAGTCGTTACTTGTTGCTTTCAGTATATTTCTCATGTGAGTTTACTCCCTTTTCCACTTGTGGCCTCCAGGATGCTGACGAGTTTTTGGAGTGATTCGGTTTACGAATTGGGGGTTTTTATTTTTATTCTTACAATTGGTTGCTTGGCTTGGTATAAAGGTGTTATTTTATATGGGCACAAGTTGGGGTGATACATTGTTTTTTTGTTAGAACTGGATTGCATGGAGTAATGGCTTTTTTTTATTACTTTCTAGTAGTTTTAGTTTTATGAAGTAACGATAGTTACAGTAGACTATAGCGAGTCTCCAAGTTATTCATCTCTGTCAAGACCTTCCTTCCGCACGCTTGCTCCTTCCTGTGCTCTGTGACGTTAGATAACCACCATAACCAAACACCACCACCTACCCAACTCCAAAATAGTGAAAAAATTCTCGACCCCTCCAAACGTCAGATACCGGCCCAGAAACGGCAATCAGGAGGCCTCCCGGGGCAGACTGGGAAAAAGTAAAATGTCCTCAGCGAGAGTCGAACTCGCGACCTTCGGATATCCCGACACTGAGAGCGGGTCATGCACGTCATGAGACCGACGCTTTAACCAACTGAGCCATGAAGACGATAGGTATTTTTTCGAATTTCATATTGGTGGACTTTCCTGGTAATTTGGAATATTTTTTTTCAAAAAAAAAAATTCAGACAACGGAATGTTGTCGTAGAAAGGGTAATTTTCTATCGTACATTTCTGGCCGGGTTACTACCGATAGTGTATGTAACTGCGCTTGTGGAAATCTGTAGATGCAAGTATTGTAGGGAAAGGGGTTTTCTATATATAAGATTGCGTTACAGAGTATTATATGGTGGCTTGTCGGTTCTCCGCTTGCGTAATGGGAATAGTGCTCGATTTATGGGGGTTTTTGGAATCGCTGTCGGTTGGCCAATGGTATGATTTGTAGGTTTCTGCTACTCGTAGACTGCTAGTGTCTTTCAAATCTGAACTGGGAGTTGGGGGGCGCTCAGGTCTTGGAAAGTTTAGAATCTGGAAGTTTTTTTTTCTTCTTTCAAATTCTGGTGTGTGAATTTGCCGAGATCACTTTCGGATTTCTGCGGGAAGTCCTCCTCCAGTGATTGAGAGTTTGTATGGATTGTTGGTTGGTTGGTGGGATGCTGATGGTGAATGCATCTTGATACCCTCCGAATTCCGTATAGGGAGGTGTTGACCATTCACTCGCGTCAATTCCCGCTATGGCAAAAGCGTGCCCGGGAAAAACTAGGAGTATCCTTCATAAGAGGTCGGGTGGATGCCTGTTGTAAGATGTGTCCAGAACTGGGATTCTGGTGATGGGCTACAAGCAAGATATCATAGGCGAGGGGCCCGTGACTCTGGAGGGAATTAAAGGTGGTAACTTTGGGATGGATGGATGGAGTGTTTTGGGTAGCTTGCCAGGCAATTTAAAGCGGAGCGGAAGAAATGTGAGGTTTTATATTGTGTTTTCGTGGAGGGTGCTAAGAGGGTGAGGAGTAAGAGTTGATGTTGTTCGTTTATACTTGTAAAGTGTCGTGGAATATTGCTGCGTGTGGTTAGTCCATACGCCTGCCTGCGCTCTTGGTTTGCTCGGCAACGGATGGGATCTAGACTTAACTGCTTGATATCTCTGGCAATGCTGGGAGCTCCTGGGGCGAAGTGTATGTTGGGTCCGGGGTCTTGTTCGATATTGTTTTTGGCTAACTTGGATTTGATAGGGGGCATCTGGCTCTGTGAACTGGGAGTTTGCTAGTGGTAGCAGTAAAAAGGATAGTCCTTATCCTAAAGAATTATATCTTATCTGGGGTGCCTGGCCAGTTGGGTTGAGTTCGGTTTCGCAGCTAGTGCTTCGATACCTTAGATAGTTGGGGCTCATATGAGAGCTTGGGATATGACAAGCTTCCGGCCGTTTGGATACAGGTTGAATTAAATATATGACAAAATTCGTGTACCTATGCCGATATGTGATAGAAATCTAGAGATAGCCCCGGGGGTGCGAACAACATACCGGAGGAACTCCCCCCCCCCCCGAGCCGAGGGGTGGTGCTATGTTCTCAGACACCGTTGAACACTTCATGCGCACACCATATGTTCTGTGGCAGATCTCCCCAGGATAGCAAGGAATAAGCACCCGTACTAGTAGTGAGAGGTGAGAAGTCAAAGCAGTAGATCGGGACGCATAGAGCGGATACTCTGAGCGCTAGGGATACCGCGCTAGAACCATTGCAAGACCTACTGTACACCGAAGGCGTGTACCCGAACACAGCTAACCCGCACAGCATATTCCAAGCCCCAGAGAGATCTTTCGTGCAGATAGTATTTTCCAGTCCCGAACAGACTCCTTTCCGAATGCAAGAACACGAGGACGACACCTCCAGATACCAAGCTCCTAAAAGCCACTACCCACCCAAAGAGCCTTTACCAAGAGAGCGTAGAATAAAATATTTTGTCTAGTAGGCATTCGAAGCAAACAACCGCAACCCCTCAGGAACCCCTAGCCACATCCGCACAGAGCTCCAGTAAAATATCCCCACCCGAGTGACACTCCGTGAGATACCATGGGGTGCGCCCACCGCACATTATCATGTGACCTCGTGCCATACAAGATATCATAGACTTTAGGGAAAACAGCTCATCGGAAACACGGGTACTCTAGGCAAGTAATTGCTTGCAAACTCTAGCCAACGCGCAAGACGGACAACGAGTTGGGGTCAGCTAGAAAAAAGTGAGATCTCCATCCGCTTTATTTCGCGGCTTTCCCTCAAAATTTGCATATCCCAACACCCCCGGGATCCAAAAAAAGGTGGTTTTCGACCGCCAAGTTCCGAGTGGATCTGCCAGGTTTTTATGATAACGCGTAGAGAAGGTGTTCACGCACCGAAGTCCTTCAACTCGAAAAACTTGCGCAAACGCCTTTCAACCCCGGGGCTGAATGTCTCTAATCCAAAAGCTTAATGGTGGGTTACAGTGATAGAAAGAGGAGGGACAAAAAAGGATCATTCTGAGTCTGAGCCTGCTTCATGCGTGCACGTTAGGCGCGTTGCCGCCAACCCCCCCNCCCCCCGAACACCGCCACAAAACGTTTTCCCTGGCCGCGCCTTTCAGAGTCTGGAGTCTTGGATGGGGCAACCGTCACCCCGGATTTAATTCTAGTAAACACAGCAGGTGAGAAGAAGAAGCTTACTGTACTTGTACCGTGAGCCTATCGTAGAGGCAAAACCAAAAGCGATGGTTGCCTCCTCCAATACTACTGGCACCGGTATTCCTACCCGAAACGCCACAATCTCGCTTACGATATGGGGAAGGAAAATAAAAAAGTGGAGGGCCTAGAATGTACGAGTACAGAAAGTCGTGGTTATCGTATCGTAGCTCGGAAGTCACCTCCTTTATCATGACACCGTTGTGCTGTTGTGTGTTGTCACTGCTGCTTCATGTCATGCCTACCTGCCCTGCATGCGGTCATTCTCCGACTGGGGAAAGCCGGAGGAGGAGGACTGATGCGAAAATTTCTCATTCACTGCAGGAGAATAGAAACTGGTAGAAGTTTCGGTGACACAAAAGCTGATACGGGTTTCTGTTTGTTTCACCCTGCCGAATGCAATCGTGCTCTGTGGAGCACGACTTACGGGAGAAGGAAAAAAAATTTTCGTGGACCCATGAACCTTTCGTAAATACAAGTGGGTAAGAGAAAAAGTGTAAGAAACCATGAGAAGGAACCCTTGAAAGAGAAAGAAAACCTAATGCAATGAAAGATAAAACACGCTACTTTTCCGCCCCTATCTTAAACCCCGAGATGACATTATTGGAAGAAAGAGAATAGGAGAGAAACTGCGCATACAAGACTTCTATGTATTTGTGCGGTTTATTCGGCTTCCATTTAGTCCACCTCTTCAACCTGAGGACCATCATCACCACCGCCAGATGGGGGAGCTCCACCAGCGCCGGGGAAGCCTCCAGCACCCGGCATGCCTCCAGGAGCACCACCTTGGCTCTGGTAGAACTTCATCATGATGGGGTTAGCAACCCCTTCCAACTCCTTCTGCTGAGATTCAAACTCATCCTGTAATAATTGTCAGAATATATCCTTTATCCTAGATTAAAATATTCGAACTTACCTTAGTAGCCGTGGTATTGTTATCTAACCACTCCACGGTTTCATCGATAGCCTTCTTGAGCTTCTCCTTGTCGCCAGCGTCAAGCTTTTCCTCGACCTTCTCGTCGCTCAAGGTGTTGCGAAGAGAGTAAGCATAAGATTCAAGTCCGTTCTTGGCCTGAATTCTTGCTGCCTCCGCTTCATCCTCCTCCTTGTACTTCTCGGCCTCCGCGAGCATACGCTCGATCTCCTCTTTGCTGAGACGGCCCTTGTCGTTGGTGATAGTAATACTAGAATTCAATCAGTATAATGCAAAGATACTATAGGAGTTTGGAAATACATACCGGTTGGTCTTCCCGGTGCCCTTCTCAACAGCAGAGACGTTCAAGATACCATTGGCATCAATATCAAAGGTGACCTCGATTTGAGGCACACCACGGGGAGCGGGGGGGATTCCAGTAAGCTCGAACTTTCCAAGCAAGTTATTGTCCTTAGTGCGAGCGCGCTCACCCTCGAATACCTGGATCAACACACCGGGCTGGTTGTCGGAGAAAGTCGAGAAAACCTCACTCTTCTTGGTTGGGACGGTAGTATTGCGCTTGATCAAAGGAGTCATGACACCACCAGCAGTCTCGATGCCGAGGGAAAGTGGGGCAACGTCAAGCAACAAGATCTCCTGGGTCTTAGAAGAGGTATCGCCAGAGAGAATAGCAGCCTGGACTGCAGCGCCGTAGGCGACAGCTTCGTCGGGGTTGATGGACTTATTGGGTTCCTTCCCGTTGAAGAAGTCGGACACTAGCTTCTGGACCTTGGGGATACGGGTAGAACCGCCAACCAAGACAATCTCATGGACGGAACTCTTATCAATCTTAGAGTCACGAAGGACGCGCTCGACGGGCTCCATAGTGGAGCGGAAGAGATCCTGGCACAACTCTTCGAAACGAGCACGAGTGATCGAGGTGTAGAAATCAATACCCTCGTAGAGCGAGTCGATTTCGATCGAGGTTTGGGCAGAGGAAGAGAGGGTACGCTTAGCACGTTCGCAAGCAGTACGGAGACGACGAAGAGCGCGTGCATTGGAAGTGAGATCCTTCTTGTGCTTGCGCTTAAATTCTTGCACGAAGTGGTTGACGAGACGGTTGTCGAAGTCCTCACCACCCAAGTGAGTGTCGCCAGCAGTCGCCTTAACCTCGAAAATACCCTCCTCGATAGTCAAAAGAGAGACATCGAAAGTACCACCACCCAAATCGAAGATAAGAACATTACGCTCTCCTTGACCCTTTTTGTCGAGACCGTAAGCGATGGCAGCCGCGGTTGGCTCGTTGATGATGCGGAGGACGTTGAGGCCAGCAATCAGACCAGAGTCCTTGGTAGCTTGACGTTGTGAATCGTTGAAATAAGCGGGAACGGTAATAACTGCATTGTTGATAGTACCACCAAGGTATGACTCGGCAGTCTCCCTCATCTTGGTAAGGACCATAGATGAGATTTCCTCGGGAGTA